TTTTTTTTTTTACAGTTTAAATGCACCCAGCATTAAATAAAATTTAATGCAGCGTAAAAAAAAAAAAAAGGTTTCCACGTACGGAGTTATTTATACTCAACAAACAGGACATCTGTTTTTCTTTTCAAAAATCTGGGGTTTGAAGTTCTTAATTTCATCCAGAGTCTCTATCAAAGCTCCGAGATTTCTTTTTTGTTCTTGGAGAGCGATCCTTACAGTGAACCACAAAGAAAGTTGGTGACCAGAAGGGTCAGTTAAACTTTAAATAAAATAAAATAGAATTTAAACAAAACAAAAAAAAATCAGAGTGACTGCTGAGATACCGTATATCGCAAAGCATCTTCTTGTATTTGGGGATTGCTAGGTTGGGCTCTAGCTACGCTGCTTAAACTGGAACACAGTGGCCCAGTGAGGGAGGGGAAGCTCGGCCGGATTATTTTGAAGTGTTGATCACCGTGACTGTTAGCATCTCCCCTTGGACATGGCAGTGGCTGCTGGCGACAGCGCTGATGCTTCATTAGGGTGGGAGGGTCCATCAGGCCGGCGGTACCCCGTTGATCCCGGGGGCTGAATATTCCCCCTGTTCCGCTGCTCATTTTTTATTCGGGAGGCAAACGTAGGTGTTTGGAAACGTCTGAGAGGTGCGATCCTCCCCTCTCCCAAAACTGCGGCGGTGGCAGCACCGCGATCTTACAGTGGCGGGTTTCGTGCATGCACAGGTGGCGAGTGGTTTGGTAGCCGAGCTTAAGATGTGCTTCCCAAAACGAAGTGGCTCATTAGGGAGGCAGCGGCTCTGGTCGTGTGTGCAGGCGCGGCTGGCGGGGTGGGGAAGGGGGTGCGGGTCACGGCGCCTGCATTGCTAGTACGTTATCACTTCGGAACGTAAGGTGATAACGAGCATCGTGCTCTTAGATGGGCAGACAGGGGTTATTGCACCTGCATAAGACAGCGTACATTTAGGTCAGCGCTCTGGTGTAGGGAGTAAACCGTCATTCCCCTTTGAAGAAAAACCCTTTTATTCGCTTTAAAAAGGGATACGGGGCGCGGCGGGGTAATACCCTGGCATTCACCCTGCAGGGATGCGGATAAGCAGAGGCACCAACACCTAGCCCTGTCATACATTTGTATGTCCATTTCCCCTGTATCAGCCCCTCTCTGTGGGGTTTTTTTTTTCGCGTTTTGTGCTTCTCAGTCGAGTCCAAGCACTTGCCTCAGGTGAACGGCGAACTGCAAAGACAGAAATCAGTGTATCGTAACGCCGATACAAGGAACCCGAAGGCAACTGGCGTGCTAGAGCGGTTTTGCACCAGAAACGCTACATGTTTTTCTATGAGCACCTGACATTAGGGGTCGTTTCCCTCTCCTTTAACCCCGAAAGAGTGAACATCAATCACGGAACTCTACCTCAAATGACCCGAGTGGAAATGCAACATCCCAGCCGATCTGCTTAAAGTCAGCTGGGGATCCGCCCCGATCTGTCCCTTGCTTGCCGGGTGGACCACCACGGCCACCAGCATTTCGGGCTGGCACAGCAAAGGAAGCGGGGACTACTCTGCCCCCGCGGGACCAGCTCACACTAAACGCTCGGAGCTGTTTTCCAGCAGCGGGAGTGGTTATACCATGTGCTGCCCTCGCCTCTTTGGTCTGCGCACCAGTGCCGCGGTCACCACCAATGCCACCCAGCCCAGGGTGGCTACCGGCGGCTC